ACTGGCATGCATTTATGACAGTTGCAGTGTCCCCGAGATCATGCGGTCACCTGTTGCGATCTTTTGACAAGCAAAGTCACGGTTTGCATGAGGTTTGCGTAAGGAACGGTTGCGAGAATTGGGTATGTCTAGTTTAACGAAGAGAAGGACAAGGGGGGACATGATAGCAGTATTCCAATATCTCAGGGGCTGCCATAAAGAAGAGGGAATTAAGCTATTTTCCAAAGCACCTGAAGGCAGGACAAGAAGCAACGGGTGGAAACTAATCAAGGAGAGAAGCAACCTAGAACTAAGGAGAAACTTCCTGACAGTGAGAACAATTAATCAGTGGAACAGCTTGCCTCCAGAAGCAGTAAATGCTCCAACACTGGAAGTTTTTAAGAAGAGACTGGACAGCCATTTGTCCGAAATGGTGTAGGGTTTCCTGCCCGAGCAGGGGGTTGGACTAGATGACCTCCAAGGTCCCTTCCAACTTTACTATTATTATTATTATTATTAAAGTCAATGGGGGAAGCCAGATTCACTTAACAACCGTGTTACTAACTTAACCACTGCAGTGATTCACTTAACATCCGTGGCAACAAAGGTCGTAAAATAGGGCAAAACTCCCTTAACAACTGTCTTGCTTAGCAACAGAAAATTTTGGGCGCAGATGTCGTAGGTCAAGGACTACCCGTATACATTTATACTTGAAGATAGTTAAGTAAATTTGGGGAGTAAATATTGTTTTTATTATCACACTGAAAAGTCCACTTTCTTAAAAACTGAATTTGTAAATCAGGAATAGAACTCTTCTGGGCCCAATTCACCCTACCTGCCTGCTAAAGTAACTGACTTTGCAAACCCTAATATTAATAGCTTTGTCTTGCTTAACTATTTCTTTTAATCCATTTAAGGGGTTCATTTGGCCCATTCCCCTATTTCTGCCATTGGAAAAGCCAAGACTTGGCAGCACATTTGCTCAAAAATGTATCTTTCTCCATTTTATAGCATACAAATCAATTTTTTCCAGTGGCTTTCTCTTTTTGCCTTGATGATGAAATGGGTGACATTAGGAGGTGCAGCTTTAATAAGATTGCAGAACGATGATATCATTTGGGAAACTAAATCCAATCCTTTCAACTCATACCGTTTCTTGAATATTAACAACGTTACAAGAGATTAACCAGTCCTAGTTAAAAATTTGTTGCTTTACTGCATCTTGAAGAGTACAATGACAAGAATGAGGCTTTGTATATTTTTCCCAAAATTGCAAACCTTAACTCAAACCCCAGCTGTAGCTGCTACTCTAGCCTACCCAAAAATCTTTATAGAAACCTTCACACTACTATACAGATTTTAATAAACTTTCCTGAACAGCAAAGAAATAGATTAGTTCATATTAGAGCCTTTGTATCCAATGCAGTTGGGAAATTCTGGACGTAGTAGGGCATTAGCTGTAATTCCAACTAATGAATAGTGATGTTTCCCATTTTCCTTATATTTCGCCTCAGAGCCTTAGAGGGGTGGGAGTAGAGTGTCATTGGGAACCTCCCAAGAGATGATTATAATCAGCAGGCTAATTCTGCTGATTCTCAATTCAACCTTCCACCCTTCCGAGGTTGGTAAAATGAGGATCCAGATTGTTGGGGGCAATATGCTGACTAAATAAATTGCTTAGAGAGGGGCTGTAAAGCACTGAAGCGGTATATAAGTTTAAGTGCTATTGCTATTTTCCTCTTAAAGTATTCTATATAAGCAATAAGCCTTATTAGTTAGTTCTTGAACAGTTCGTTGAATAATGAATTGAAGAGAAGGTGTTTGAATTTCTAGCAGTTCCTAGTTAGATATGACTAATTAAGTAAATTTTCTCTTCTGTGGTATAAAATTGCCCCCAAGGATTATTTCTGCAATATTTTTTGATATGATGATAACAACAATTTTCCTCCGTTGTTCAGTCTATGAGCTGTTGTTTTCTGTGGATTCTGCTACTGAGTAAATAGCCATCCTATTTACTGTGGATTCTGCTACTGAGTAAATAGCCATACTATTTAGCAAGCATCTCTTGGCAAGCAAAGCGGGCTTTCTTCACTTTGTCGGGTTGTTTTGTCTTTTATGAAAGTGTCACCAGGGAGCAAAGGTTTAGTTCATGCTTGACCTGATAGAAGTACCTGGTTAGTTTGTCCTGGTCATTTTGAAGTCTCAGAAGTAGACATGCATCTAAAAATCCACATGAATGTTCTGGATAGACAAGATTTTAAATCCTGATAGCTCACTATGTAGGACAAAACATTGTGCACATCTTCACACCTCCTACATCTTCCTATATATTACAGGTTTATATTATGAACAAATTCTATGTAACCTACAGCATAGGTTTTCAAACTACAATCTTTGAAGAAAAATGTTAAGAGCCATTTTAAATGCTTTAGCTTTTCTGGTGTTCTGTCCATTCTTCTCAGAACAAAGAAAATGGCATAAGCTATGGAAGAAGGAAGAGCTTGCTGTTTTTTCCCCCTATGCTCTTTTTTATAGATAGAAATTCCAGCTTAACCCCCCCCCTTTGCAATTCTCATCTTGAGATCTGCACGTTGGCAATCACATATGGAAAGTCATATAAATGGTTTGCCATATACAGTGTTTTCTTTTGCAGTTTTTGACATGGTAGATTGGTGGGATCACCTGTTTATGTTAAATTTATAAGACATGGCTGTACTATGTCTCACAAATTTAACATGAACCGTGATCACAAATTAATGTGCAGTCTGTTTTCTAGTATACTAAATTAGAAGTAAGCAAAAATGCCACTAATGTTACTTTGATGGCATTATTATTGGTAGAAGATTCCATTTTGGGGTTTCATCTTAATAAGGAGCTTGGGAAAAAGGCTTGGGAACAACTGACTGAACTCTTGCTAAAACCAATTATTTCTTAAAGTTTATTTATTAAAATAGTGTCAGGGTAAATGGTTACTTGAATGCAGTCAACAAGTAACAAACATACTGTTGCTATAGTGAATAGGATGCTTCCAGTATTTTAGTTATTTTAGTAATTATTTTAGTATTGATGAAATATGATTGAATGATAATCTGAAGGTGAATTACTTGTGGCAACTGCCTGCATATGCTTATCTAATAAAGAAGTGTTACGCCTGCCTGGCTGGGGAATTCTGGGAGTTTAAGTCCACAAGTCTTAAAGTTGCCAAGGTTAGACACCCCTGTTTTAGCTTGACCTCTTAATTTTGCACTCATGCAGTGTTTTATTGAATGCCTCATGCAATTCAAAAGACAGAGCAATGTTTGTTAAAATTAAAAGAGACATCAAACTAATGCATCTCTGAATAACCATTGAAAGAAAGGTGAATATTACATGTTTACTTCCTGGTTGAACTTTGAATTTCAGGTCTGGAGACTTTAGAGAATTTTCAGATAAAATATCTCAACTGCCATTTGCTGTACTACTGATTTCTGCATCATCAACTAGATCAGTGGTTCTCAACCTGTGGGTCGCGACCCCATTTGGGGTCGAACGACCATTTTACGGGGGTCGCCAAACAACGCGATCCGCCATTTTTTTCCCTCAGGGGGCGGCGCCGCACGTCCTTATGACCGGGGTCGCTGTATAAAAAGGTTGAGAACCACTGAACTAGATATTTAAGTCATCAACTCATTTGCTGCTAGGTCTAAAACTGATAAAAGGATAGACCTGTAATGTCCTTATTTGGTGACATGTATAAAAACAGAATATCTAATCATTTTTCATGAAAATGATAATAACTAGTAGACCTAATAATGCATTACAAAAATCCTGCAGTTTATATATCCTGAAGAGAGAGGCAATATTCAATATTAAGTAAAGTCTTGGAGCTGAAGTGGATTCTAATACATAGATTTGATACCTTATTTTCTGTATTAGTAAAGAGCAGAAAAAATTATATTGTTAAAATTGATCCAGTTGCCGTAATTGATGCTATATTGTCAATCTGAGAAAGGTTTCATTCGTTCATTGCTTTTGTGATTTTTCTGGATGTTTTTCTTTTAGCCAAACTTGCTAATGTCGAAGAATGTCAACATATTCTCAAAGATAAACGGGTTAGAAAAGAAACGGAACTAGTGTGTCTCTTGATAAACTACACCAGGGGTAGGCAACTTTGAACTACACAGTCAATCTGGTATTCCTGCTGTGAGTTTCAATCAAAGATAGTGCATTCCAGTTGATTGTTACACATCCCACTGCTTTAAATGTTGAATTCTGATCTGAGTTGGGTGGCCCAGTGCCACCTTTGAGGTAGATAAGTGTATCTTTACCTCAGGGATACATTTGTACTTGCTAGGTAACTTATTATTTTTTGTGAGCTAGGTATAGTAGACCTGGGTATGGAATCAGTAGAGGTCAGTTAAACCGGGTCACTTTTTCTCCAGCAACCCTGAAAGTAAGAACTGATTCTTCATTGCTATTACAATGACCTCAGCTATATCAACATTGGAACATGAGTTTTCCCCAAACAATCAACTAATGACTACTCAGCAATGCTGCCTTGAAATATAGAATAGCCATGAAATTTTACAGCTAGCAGGAAACACAACTTGCTGTAATTCTAGAATTACCCTGAAAATTTATAGAATTTAGTGATAAACATTAAGAAGAACTCCAATATGCCGTAAGATGTAGGAGTCTGAATTTCTGACTTTGAAAATTATTCAGCTAAAATCCTTTCTAGCGCATGTTTTAATATTTGACTAGTTTTGCAATATTGCCAGAACGGTTTTTTTCAGAGGCCTGCTTTAAGAAAGTATGTACTTAGTGCTGTGGTGTTCAACAGGTGAAACTGATATGCTTTCTGCCTCTCCCAGGGGGTGTGCCTGCAAGTTATTGCTTCCAGAGATTGGATGAGTTATTCTAGCATAATTTCCAGCCTATATTTATGTGATCCTGCGCAGAACAATCTATAACTACAGCTACTCTCTGAACTTAAATTTCTCCCTCTCATTCTGAACATTCATCTCTTTCTGATTCTTCAGATTTGTCAGGATTCATATTTGATGTGCAGTCAAATACTGTAATGGCCCAAGGAGGTACCTTTGAAAATATGAAAGAGAAGGTAAGTAATATCTTAACAGACCATTAAGAGCTGAAAATAATATAGTATTGCTTTGAAAGTCAGAAAGTATGATGACTCCCTTGAAGTATGAATAGAACATATGAAAATTGACAATAAGTTCTTAACTTTTCTTGTGGTCCTTTTCCTGTGGGAAGTGGTATCTTGCTTCTTCCACAATCTCAACTATTTATTGACAGATAGCTTGTCTCAGAATAACAGAGTTGGAAGGGACCTTGAGGGTCTTCCAGTCCAACCCCCTGCCTCATACCATTTCAGACAAATCATTGTCCAATCTTTTCTTCAAAAACTTCTGGAGGCAAGATATTCCACTGATCAATTGTTTTAACTGTCAGGAAATTTATCCTTAGTTGTAGATTGCTTCTCTCCTTGATTAATTTCCATCCTTGGTGTCTAGTCCTGCCTCCTGTTGTCTCATGGCTGAACATTTATTTTCCCCTTCTTTTTTAGCTGCTATTGATTTGGGGACAAGCTTTTCTGGTCAGACTATTTCAGAGCATATTGAGTCATAATATTTGCTTTTCAGTGACCTCTTAACCAGTGGAAGCTGGATGGCTTTACTCAAGCTGCTGGCTCATGTTGCTTGCAACTCTAGTTGTAAGTGCTTGAAATGGGTTTAACACCACACACAGGCTGCCAGAGGAAAAATGAATGGGCTGTTCCCAGAGTAAAAACGAAACTGACATCAATTTAAGAGAAAAGAAACTTAATTTTTCTCCTGGGTTTACAGTTGCAAATATTTGTCTGGGAAGTAAATGGCTAACATGTGACCTGTGTATCTCATTTTTCCAGATTAGTGCCGTGAGAGCGATAGTCCCTAACCGCAGCAACAATGAGATTATCCTAGTGCTGCAACACTTTGATAATTGTGTAGATCGAACTGTACAGGCTTTCATGGAAGGTAAGTTCTTAGTTCCTATCTTGAGATATTTTCTGGCAGGCCTCAAAAACTAAATATGATGTGGGGGGGGGAAGCAGTGAGTTGTCATTTAACATGCAATCTTAGCGTAATGCAATTACAGAATGCTAAATAATTATTAAAATATATACATTTCTTCATTTTCTGATACTATGGTGTTTTAAGTTATATAACAGGCATAGGATTTACATGTTTTGCATGATACTTGGAATATATTTTACAAGACTCTCTACTTCAAGGTTAATTATGAAGGAAATATAAAACGTCTGCCCTTTTTATCAGAAACATTTCTAAATTCTAATTTGATTGTTGAAGACTAGAAATGGTTGCCTGGGATGGAGAAAAATGAGCAGTGTGCTCAGTTAAAATTCTGCTTTAGATATTGAATACTATGTTCTCCAGTAGCAAAGCACATTCACAAATTTTCTCCATAACTCATTCATGCATGTTCACAGGAAGTCCTGGAAACTGAAATTTTCCTTGCCTATTGAGAGCCTCAACAGGAACTACTTATGTAGTTTATATGCTGCCTTTGGAAGCTCTGAGTACTGCCCCAGAGACACTAAAGATTGTTATCAGATTGTCATTTTAATTGTGATAGGGGGGAAAAACATTACTGTAACATACTAACTTAAATAAAAATGAAATTAATGTTTTTGAGGTGATTTAACACAGTGCTTTTTAGCTTTTTAGCTGTTAGCCCAGAAAGTGTTGTGCATCTCTTTTTCTAAACAATGTAATCCTTTTTCATAGCTTTTTTTAAAAGTTTCATTCTTAATTTTAAATATGGTTTTATCCTATGACTTCTTTCACAACCTATTTTAGACTTCTGAAAACAAGACTTTCTGGTTGAGCCTAGAATTGTACATTTCAGAACCCAGATTAGGGAAGCATTTTTTCTGAGATTGTTCTGTATTGAAATGGATTAATGCTTTTCATTAGGTACTAAAATTAATTGGAAAACATGATTTCAGAAACTGTGTAAGGATGCTACCGTTTAGTGGCTTTTGACTTAAATAAATGGGTCTTAATGAGGCTTCTGTTAAGCATAGAAATCCTAAAACCTTATCACTACGATACAAAACTACTTTGTCTAAACAATGTCCTAAAAATACCTATTTAGCAGCTTAGCTTTTACTCAATGTCCTGTAGACCAGTATTCTTAAGCTTTTGTTTTAAATTCCAACAATTATCCTGGAAAACAATTCAGGTGTCACCATAATAGAAAGCAAACTCTTCTCAAGAATACATTACATACAGTATTTATAGGCATTTCGTTATTATATTTATTTTTAAGGTAAATTTTAAAAATTTCACACTTCAGTAGCATATCCTGGTCTTTCCTTAAGAACCACAATCATTCTTTTTTTTTTAATAACAAAAACAAAACACACTGTTTTCTATCTTCTGACCAGAAAATAAATTCGTATCTTTTCTGTCTGTCTGTCTGCCATATTTTGATATCAGCGACATAAGCTTACTGTTTTATATTCTATTCTTGTATCTTTATGTTTTGTTATTATTGTTTTGCATAGCTAAGGAGCATGTGAATCTTAATAATTATGTTTTTTTTTTCTTAATAGGTAGTGCTGCTGCAGTGTTGAAAGAATGGACGGTAACGGGCAAGAAAAAGGTTAGTCTTGGTTTGGACGTGAACTTGCTTTGGTAGAGTATTTTACTGAATTATAATGTGGCTGTTAATTATTATCTCTTGATATTCTAATCTAGAGGCTTTAATTCCTCACTCATAGGTCCTTCCTCTCCCACCAAGGATGTAGAGTTGGCATCCCCAGTAAAGCATTTATAGGTTCCAAAGCACCTATAGGACCTTCACTTAGTATCCTTGAGGCTCCACTTTTAACACTTTTTTTAAAAAAGTGTTATGTCTGCTACATAAACGGAGTACTTGCAGATCTAAATTTACCAATGGATACTGCACGTCTTAGAAGATGAAAACTGTTGGTGGCTATAGTCCACTGCTTTGGTTAGAGGTGTACCCACATAATTAGAAAAAAAAATACAAAAGTAAATTAGGGTGTAAAGAGAGTTATGAAGGACCATTCTCATCTGTTTGTCTTCTGATAAACGATGTTTTGTGGCTGGATGTTCCTCCTCTTGCATCCATTTTGGAAACAGAAGAGTATTCTGTTTTATTTTCATTTAATACTGTGGTCAGGGATCTCCACCCTGCTGTTACAATCTTGAAATTTCAACATTACCTGCTAGTCCCAAAAGTCGTGACTATCCCAATGAAAACGAGGCATACAACCCTTGAAGGGGAAAACTTAAAAACTCATTGCCAGCCTTTATGAAAACGTTTGCAGCTTTTCCTTTATTAATTCTCACATTGGCAACATTAAAAATAATTTATGCTGAAGGTCGGCCTTAGAGCAGGGATCCATAGCCAATCCAAAGTCATGGCCCATTAGCTCCTGTTCTCCTGTGGCATAACTGAGGTGATGCAACTAGTTTAAGAGGGAATGACTGTTTAAAAATACCTCTGGGGAAGGGAGAGAGAAGCAAAAAAATTCCAGTACTTGCTTGGGGATATTAGTGCATTCTGTAACATCAGGTGAGATTTCCCAGAAACACTGAATATATGGTATGTGTTCTAATCTGCCGGATTAGAACAACGTCTAGCCTGACCAGCATTTTCCATCCTTAACTGTGGAAAACCCAGGTAAATGCAGGAACATTCACCACCTTCTATATAGATTCTATGTGCAAAGATTAGTATGGATATATATCCATGATAAAAATCAAGCATACGCTAATTCATTCTGCTTCTTTTAGTAATGTAGAAGGCTTAAGGAGATGTGTGATGATAAGGTCTCACCCATTAATTCTTTGAAACCTGACGCTGAAATTGTCCTGTCTTCTAAGATTTCACAAGGCACATCTTTTTCTGTATTTCTATGGAATTGTGGAATATGCATATTTCTGAGAATAGTCAGCCCCTCTGACTAATTCGGGGTAAAATGCAGCATTTTTAACATCCCTTGGATCCACACTGTATATGGCTACTACACACTGCCCACATGAATTTCATTAATATCACAATCGATCAGTTCTGGCTGTTACATAAATCCCATCCCACATTTAAGGGATCATCCTTAAGACCTGTCTGCTTAAGAATTTAATTCTTTTACATTCAGGCAATAGTAATAACGTTCCATTTCATATCAGGAGTTGAGCTTAGTTTCTTCTCTCATAATGCTGATATCTTAATTCTAGAACAAAAAGAAGAAGACCAAATCAAAAACCCCTGCAGAATCGAGTGTCAATGTTCCTGATTCCAGCAAGCCAGCGGCCCCTGAAGAAGAACAGTCTGCCGTTTCATCAGAGAAGGGCGGGATTAACGGTTACCATGTCAATGGTTCGGCCAATGACACAGAGTCTGTGGACTCACTCAGTGAAGGCTTGGAGACACTTTCCATTGATGCAAGAGAGTTAGAGGAGAGTGAGTCTGCTATGCCTGAGGCTCCTGATGGGACAGGTTAGTTTTTTGTTGGATTGTTATGAAAATCAGAAAGTCTGTATAAGTAGGAAGGCTTCCTTCTTCCATTCTACTTGTGTAGTGTCTTCCGCCACATTTCATTGTTTAACAACCCAACAGTTACAATTTCTCTTCCACTATTCAGTAGTTGCCACAGAAGGAGATGAACCATTCTTTTTTCAAATTGCATTGACTCTTCCCAATTTCCAAAGAGGGGGAGAGAGGTAGAAATGGAAGCAACATGACAGTAATTATTATAGATAACTGGAATTTGTACTAAATTATATAATCTGATTTGGAAATCCATAGATTGCATGGGTGGTGAATGTACTGAAGTGGAAAATTGGGTACCATGTAAATCGGGTGGGCAACTATGGCTACTTTACAACCATCTACTACAACTCCCAGAATTCCTGAAGTTTATAGGCTGTAAAGTTGCCCTAGTTGACAGGCCCTGATGTAAATTCTAGGTAGGCTTATGGTCACCATACAGAGACACCCTAGAGCAGTGATGGCAAACCTATGGCACGGGTGCCAGAGGCGGCACTCAGAGCCCTCTCTGTGGGCATGCGCGCCATCACCCCAGTCCTAGGCCTTCAGCTGGGTTTTATAAAACCATTTTGCTTTAGGCCTCCGCCATCATGTGCAAAAAAAAAAAAAAAAGGTTCAACCAGTCAATTTCAACTTCTCGCGGGGAAATAAAAGATCTCGCAAAGTTGGAATTGTTTGAAGTTTTTAGTCCCACCTAGTCTGCCATTATCACCGAAGCCATGTCCACCCAATGGGCCATGCCCACCCAATTGGCCATGCCTACCTGGCACCCAACGATACATAAGTGGATTTTGGGTTGCAGTTTGGGCACTTGGTCTCTAAAAGGTTTGCCATTACTGCCCTAGATAAATAATTTGGGATTCCAGTCTACATAACATTCCTTATCCTATTGTTCTTTTTTATGTTATTTTATGGTTGTGGGATGTTTAGAGTAACCTTTTTTCCCCCTTCCTCAGCATTGTTACAGTTTGAAAATGGAATAACCAACTTGAGTCCAAAATCTGCAAGCACGCGGTCTTCCCAGAATACCCAGCCCCTCAGAGTGCAACCTGAATTGAGAAACGCTGGCAAGTCACTTTCCAGACCTGCTTCCAGCACCCAATCTCCAGCTCTTTCATCCCTAACAATGCTGGATGAGGTCCCTGTGCCCCCTGGAAACAAAAAACTAGGTAGAATTTACAGATCTATGACATGATTCTGTTCTCTTTTTAGTTTTTCTAAGAAGTTCTTTGTTGCAAAGTAATTATAGGGTGCCAGGTGACATTTGTTTTAACTCTAAAGCTTGTAATTCTTAGTGTATATCTCATTAGTTGTTGTGTTGTGGTGGGTAGTACAGGACTTTGATCCCGTTCAAATCTTGCTGAGTCATAAAGTTCATTGGGTAACCACGTACCAAGTCAGCCTAACCTTCAGCAGCAGTTTCAAAGTTAAGTGAAAAGAGTCTAATCTAGCATTTCAGATATTCCTTGGGAAACAGTAAGATTAAATTAAATGGAACATAAAATTGCAGTTATTTTTGTTCTGGATACTTAATGTGCAAGTATGTGAATATATTTTACTTACGTTTTAAGATGAAGATAAATATTCAGGACATCTCAGTATGATTATCCTTGTGCTGTCCTGACGTGCTTATTGATAACTTTTTAATATGCTCTGAACAACAAATCATTTGTCATCATGGGGCTTTTATTGCTTTTTAACATAAGTAATATGTTAGCTGTTGCGCTGGGACTGGTAAATGCAGAGTGGATTCCTGTGGAAGCTGATTGCCATATTCTCTCCTCTCTGATTTCGATCAATCACTTCCATCTTTCCTATTTCAGTGTTAAATTGCTGCCACTGTATAATTCTCATTTAGCTTTATGGTGACTTTGCAAAGGGATTCTTAGATTCAAATTCAAAATTGGTACAGATCTGTTCAAGCCTGATGAGCAATACCTGCTTGCTCTGGGAATAAACGCCTTCACTGGGCACAATACCTCTTTCCAGTTCTGTCTGAATTTCTTTATCTATTTCTATTTGAGTTGCAGAGAGCTCGTACATAATCTATCCTATTAAAGTGGGGAGTAATTTTCAGAGCACATTAGCTCTAGCAGCTAGAGTTACTTGAAACTGGTTTTAACCGACTTACCAAGGAGCGCTGAAAGATGGTAAATTATTTAATATAAATAATGCATCCTTTGAGGCAAGTTGTAGACCACATTTTTGCCTCATCTGGATATGCAAATAAAATGAGAATTAATTGATGATATTTTTTTCCTCGTTTGGATGTACAAATAAAATGAGAATTAGTTGACTTAGATTATTTAATTAGCTGGCATTGCTCAGTGATTCACTCTGTATATGTGGTGTGCAACCTAGTTTTAGAAAAGTGCACTCTCCCTTCTAATCATTATATTTCTTACCCAGCTGTGCACACTTTTTTTTTTCATGGTGTGAGCCAAGTTTCCAATGAACCTCAGTGGATAAATGAAAAGCCACAGCCCTGGCTGTTCCTTCTTTTAGTTTTCTGTTCTTCCCTTCTATGTCTGTCAGCAAATGAGACCTTCAAAATCCTGATTCTAAACATGGTCATTATCCATAGTTTTGGGGAGGCAGGAACATCTGCCTCTTGGCAGCAGCATTTCAAAGTTTGTGCTTTAACAAGGGCCATAACAAGCAGCTCAACCGAGGGTGAGCACAAGTCAGTAATTTTTGGTGACACAAAGAAGCTTGGAAATGTGCTTTCTTGGAGTCTAACCTTTGCAACAAATACCTAAACCTTATACCTTGCCTTATAGAGGAAATGGCATTCTCATGCAGATTTGATTGTATAGGGGAGAGTCAATCATAGTGTGAACTTTACAGTTTTGTTCCCAATTAGATATTTTCTCTTTATAACTCAATGCTGCTATTTTATTCCTGGAATATTTTTATTTAATTTTTTTGTAAATAGTTAGCAGAAATATTTGGACGAAATGGCACTCAAAGCAGCATTCAAGTTTCTTTGGAATCTCTTTTTCTCGTAATGAACAAATACTTTATGTCAAGCAATTTGTAGTTTTGATAACTCTTGGAAAATTTGCAAGGAGTACTGACGCTTTAGTATATTGTGTTCTTTTTGGATAGGTTCCAATATTGAAAAATCGGTAAAAGACCTCCAGCGATGCACCGTGTCACTGTCCCGGTATCGGGTTGTGGTTAAAGAAGAGATGGATGCTTCTATTAAGAAAATGAAGCAGGTCTTTGCAGAGCTGCAGAGTTGGTATGCTAATACTTTGAAATCTGGTGTGAGCATGATTTTAAAGGATTTGATTAAGGATAATGCCTTCCTTTTTTCCTTTACCAAACTAGTCCTTGCCTGAAGGTGTATTTACAACATGATTAGTTGGAGTCATACTAGCGCATGGGTTCATGATCACGTGTTCTATAAAATGTCTAGGGATTTTTGTCCTAACTATAATGGGGTCTGACTCCAGATTCTGGTGGTACTATATGTTGTTAGGGTACAAACTGTTTCCAAATAACAACTTTATCCCCAAATAAAACTACTACGTATATGGGTGACTTTATGTAGGGAACTCATGGACTTAGCAATGCAAGTTACTAAGAGTAGATGCCTTAAAGATAATCTATAGCATTGCAACATACGATAGTCACTTGTTATGTTTTCCTAATTTTTTAGAAACTGCCTTATGATTTTGGCTGTGGCTTGTTCTCCAAGCTTGTTTCCATATACTTTCTGAACGCTTCGTTACCAAACTAGGTAACATCATCAGGATTTCCTTGTCCTGTTCTCCTTAGCTTATAAATGTCTTGTGTGGCAGTATGGACAGCTGGTCATGCCATTGGTTGTTTGTTTGTTTGGAGCTATTTTTGAATTCTGAGCACCTGATTGGTTCTCACTGGATTAGGATAAAAATGGGACAGAGTTTGGAAACAAATGTTCTGTACGTATATGCAGGAGTTCACTGGCCACTTGACTTTTTAATAACGAATCCTCATTATGATTGAGAAATCTATTGCATTTGCATTTCAAATGCACAGGTGATTAAAATAATTTGATTCCCAATTTTCACAAAGCTACAGAATGAACAATACAAATAAGAATTTCTGCTTAATACCAAGTGAGTTTAAAAAGTTAGTTTAAGTTAATCTGACCAAATAAATAGAAAGTTTGAGGACAGAATCATTTTCCATGTCAAAAAGCATTTTCATTTTCAAATCTTAACAATCTGAGATCAAGAGACTTCTTTTGGTTTATAGGCTGACCTAATCTATCGCAGTTCTTGCTTATCAAATCCACTGTCTGAATCGCTAAGATTTCTACATAGCTGAACTAAAATCTTTGCTATTTATCCTACATACAGCCTTAAGAAAAATAATGAAAGCATTTTTTTAATGTGGGCTACTTGCATCTGACTTATTTCTCCAAGGATACATATTGGGATTGTAGGCAAAGAAGAATCTTGAAAGATTCCTCAAGCGAAGGCTAGCAGCCTCTGCTGACTTAATATTTAGAACTGATTGCGGATTTTGCCAGCAGATTTATCATTCAGCATTATCCAGCATTCATTTGGATGGTGCATTTTCCTGCAGATATCTCTTCCTTCAGCATAAAAAGCTAGTGCTTCTTATAAATCATCACCTCCTGGGTCACTCCTCTAATCTTCGCCTTGTCATGCGTCATGTTTTAAAAGGTTAAAGACCTTGTTTCAATAATTCTGCTTGCTGTGGGGCAGAGAAAGGGCAGAAAACAGGAAGTGCAGTTCCGTGACACAGGGAAATGCATGGCTAGTTTGGAAGAAAGCCAGCAGAACCTCCTTTAATAAATTCCAGATAAAGAATCAAGGGTTTGTTATTTGTTCTTTCCTGAAAACGGGGTGATTGCCATTCTGCAAATGAGGCTGTGTACCTTCCAACCACAGCGTACAAATCCCTTTCTAGTCACTTCTGAGGAAAATTATTTACATCATCACATAAATGCAGCATTGCCAGTTCAACTTAGGAAGTCTGTCAAGAGAACTGGTCTTGCAACTGTTGGTAATACGAATATTATGTTCTCTTAATATATGTTGGCTGTAGTCGCTTGCTGGAAGAGGTCTCGAAGGAATTACCACAATATTGTAAACTAAAATTGAACAAGTAATATTTTTATAGCATCCCTTGAAAACTTAATTATTTTGCTTTAGAAATTCATAATGTGCTCATTAGACAGGCTGTATTTCTTTTCAAACATAAGTGATGAATTTATAATGTTTGGCATAAAGAGGAAAATCCATTCAGGAATACCTTGCTGTGTAACAGACTGAAGTGTTCAGTTTTCTGAAGATCAAACCCTCATGTTAAATATTCTCTGCATTACTCTTTTGCTGTTTTCAACATTAGCTGTTCTATAGAATTAGGCACACCCACAATAGATCTTTTAGGGGGGGCCTGCATTCTAGATGCTATTTTGTAATTGAGAAAATACGGCAATAAATCATTGACCTGATGGGAAATTCTCTTTGCCACTTTTAAAAGAAAGGAATGTGCTGTGAACCCCTGACGTTATTGCCAGGAATGAAGATTTTCAGGTTTTGGAGATCACTGCTCAAGATGCTCAAACCTTTAAATATACAAGTTCAGCTTATAATTTCTGAATTTTTATGAAGTTCCTATTGAAGGACAAATCATCCGTCTGTTGGAGCCCATCACAAATGCAGCCTAATTAGTCCTCTGAACTTTCTGATCAGATTCTGTGATTGCCTTGAACATTAGAATTATGTGTATGTAGAATTATGTGTATGTAGTTAAGCAGGCATACCATATCTGATACTGAAGATATGATAAAAGAATAAAATACAAAATACATAGGCAGTTCAGCCCTTCAGGCCTACTACCTAATATTGGTCTGAGAAACAAATCCATTGCTTGTGATTTCATCAGCCTTGCCATCAGAATTGCTTTCAAACACAAATTCTCTGGTTCCCCTGTACAGATAGCTCTTGTTTAACTACCACTCATTCAGCGATCATTCAGAGTTACGATGGCACTGAACCAGGAGACTTACAAGCAGTCCTCGTAGTTAGAGCTGTTGTAGCATCCTTGTGGTCATGTGACTGCAATTTGGGCACTTAGCAACCAGCATTTGTGATGGTTGCAGTGTCACGTGGTCACTATTTGTGACCTTCCCCACTGGCTTCCCACAAGCACTGGGGAAGCCAGCAGGAAGTCTCAAATGGCAATCACATGATGTTCTGCTTAATGACTACACGGAATTTACTTAATGATGGGAACCAGAACTGCCAGAACTACTGATGTAAGTTGGCATGGTCATGTGAGGTCGCACTTCACAACCACATCACAATGGAGTTGCCAGTCCCAATTAAGTGAGGACCAGTTCTCTTTCATTCATAAAGGCAAGCAACAGAACTCTACTTTGTAGCTGCTTTAATAGCAGCATAAAGGCTGATATCTATCCTGTTTTCATTCTCCTCACTGTCAGGATTTTATTGGCTTTCCTTGGCTTGTTGTCCTGGATAGAAGCTGGAACATATTTACAGATGGTTACTAGGATTTAGAATTGCATCATCATCATCCATGGCCTTTGTTATGACAACCCCTGAATCATTGCTGGGATTGTTCAACCTCTGAGATGCAAGCTTTCAGTTATTATGTTTTATCCTTTACCAGTTGTTCCTCTGGATGCATCTAAACTGAAACCTATTCATGCAGATATTCAAAATCTTACCACCCATCTCTGCTTGACTTAGTAGTACTGTGGGACAGATAACTGCTCTGAATTATCCTCAACCTCTGAGAAATTAAAACTGAAATATCAGATGGTTCCTTTATCTCTTTCTCAGATTCATGATCCAGCATCCCCCTTAGGAAACCTTTTGAGCTTTTTCAGATTCCATTAAAATTGCTGTATTAAAATATCAACAGATAATGTTTTATTTATTTCCTTGTTCCTTGTTACTGAGGGTGGTAGTGAAGATCAGAGAAGCAGCTGTATGGCGAACAGCTCTTGGTAGCCATGCCAACCTCTGCTGAGACTCCTGAGGGGAATGTCTTTTCACAGACTTTTAGAGGTTCTAATGATGCCCATAAATAATCTCTGTGCATTTACTATCCTGGATTTACTAGGCCATTTTTTTCTCACGAGTATTACAGCATGGAGTGTGAGTGAGCTTTGCCCCCTATAAACAAATTCCTGGCATTCCATAGGAATAAACTGAGGCTGGCAAAGCCTGTTCTCTTGCATATCAACCAGGAATTTATTCTTTCTATTTTTCTTTCCAACTCTGTCTTCCTCTTTGGAATATACTAGGGATGCTTAAGAGGCTAGAAGCTCTTCATAAGGAGCAGTATATTCTCTTCTACTCTGAACAGATTAAGGAAGTGGTACCTGTGTCATTCAAAACATTGCTATTTTGATATGCTGTGAGCTGGCAAAGGAACCCAGTCTATACTAGATCATTCCATTTCAGCTACGTATGTGCCCGTATATACCGATTCTTGTATTGCAGCAGTTCTCAACCTGTGGGTCGCGACCCCTTTTGGGGTCAAACGACTGTTTCACAGGGGTCGCCTAAGACCATCGGAAAACACATATTTCCGATGGTCTTAGGAACCAAGACACCGCTCCGCATCTGTCTCCGCACGGCCTCCGCCACTTGCACAGAGAGACAGAGAGAGAGAGAGGCACTTTCGCTTCCCTTCTCTCTCTCTCTCTCTCTCTTTCTCTCTCTCTCTCTCTCTGACGTACCTCCTGCAGGGCTCCTGATTGGCCCTGCGCCCAGGTGCCCCACCCCCTGGGAGAAGCGCGGCCAGGGCCTCGTGGCTTGGAGCCGCCTGGGGAAGCCCCGGGATCCCTGCTGGGAGCAGCCCGCTGGAGGCTCCGCTGAGCGGGGCAGCCCTCCCGCAAGCCGCGGCCCAAGGGAGACCAGCCCCTGCAATCCCCAGCCAGCCCGACCATTGGACCTGCTGGCTGGGAAGGCGCGCCGGAATCCAGGCTGCTGGGAAGGAAGAAGGAGATGCAGCAAAAGTAGGAGAGGAGAGCCGCCTCCTGGGGCCCAGCGCTGGCGGCGGCTTCCTTGCCCTCCCCTTCCTCCTCCCCTTCCTCCTCCCCTTCTTCCTTTTGCTGCCCCCAAAGCGGCTCGGGTGGGTGCTGGGACAAGAGCGGTGCCTGGGGGGGAGCAACTGGGCTGGACGAGGGGCTGGCAGTGGCCGTGTGGCACCAGCCCCCACCGCGGCTCCATTGGATGGGCGAAGGGCGAGGCCGGGCAGCGCGGAGTCCCGACTAGGGCGATTGGTTCCTCGCCCTCCTCCTCTCCTTCCTGCTGCCTCCCCAGGCGGCTCGGGTGGGCGCTGCCTCCACCGCGGCTCCAGAGATGGGCGGAGGCCGAGGCCGGGCAGCACGGAGTCCCAGCGGGAGCGGCGGCCGGGGGCAGCAGGGACCCTGACAATGCTGCCCTGTCTCTGCCGCTGCCTCCCGTCCTGCTCCCCCTCCCCGCCCGTTCGGCTGAGGATGCGCAGAGGCCAGGGGCGGTGGGGACCCCCGACAATACTGCCATAAGAGAGAGAAAGCGAGAGAGGAAAGAGAGAGAAACAGAGGAAAAGAAAGAGGAAAGAGAGAGAAAGAGAAAAAGGGAGGAAACACAGAAAGAGAAGGAGGAAAGAGAGAAAGAGAGAGAAAAGAGACTGCTTTCCCAGTCGCCGAGAAAGGGAAAAAAAAGAGCTGTGAGCGAGTTCCCCTTTCTGCCTCGTTGCTGAAAGTTTTTTTTTTAAACGACCGCTCATTCAGAACTCCTTGGGGTTTGTTTGCACGAGCTTGTGGCAGATCAGTAAATAAAGGGGTGGGGGAGCCAAACGGTCCAAGGCATTTGCACCCTGAATGTGTGGACGCTGCTTTCATGATTTGCCACCACCACCCCCTCTCTTCCCGCCCTGCTCAGGCAATGTGCTGTTGCTACTGCTGGCTGAGCTGAGCTGAGTTGTGGCACTGTGTCGATCCCCACACCTCCTGGTTGCCCGGCCGTGCTCCGCCCCCGGCTGCCCTCCGTGCCCCGCCGGAGCCTCCCCCACGCTACCCGGCCTGCCTCCCTTGCCATCGGAGGGCATCTGTGTGTGTCTCCAGACCTTACTGGACTACCATTCTCAGCAGCTCTAAAAAGCACTGTGGAAGAGTGGGGAATGCTGGGAGTTGCAGTTCCTCACCATCTGGAAAAACATGATTCTCCAAAGATCAATCAATCCTTCCTTCCATCCACCCATCCATCTCCTTCCCTTCCCTTTCAATCTCTCCTTGCTTCCTTCCTTCCTTTCCCCCTCAATCTCCTTCCTTCTCCATCTTTTCCTTTCCCCTTCAGTCTTCCTTCCTTCCTTCCTTCCATCTCCATCCCTTCCCCTTCAATTTCTCTCCTTCCTTCCTTCCTTCCTTCCTTCCTTCCTTCCTTCCTTCCTTCCTTCCTTCCTTTCCCCTTCAATCTCCTTCCTTCTCCTTCTTCTTTTCCCCTTCAATCTTCCTTCCATCTCCATCTCCATTCCTTCCCCTTCAATCTCTCCTTCCTTTCTTCCTTCCTTCCTTCCTTCTTTCCTTCCTTCCTTCCCCCTTCAATCTCCTTCCTTCTCCATCTCCTTCCTTTCCCCTTCAATCTTCCTTCCTTCCTTCCATCCCCTTCTCCTTCAATCTCTCTCCTTCCTTCCTTCCTTCCCCTTCAATCTCCTTCCTTCTCCATCTCCTTCTTTTCCCCTTCAATCTTCCTTCCTTCCTTCCTTCCATCTCCATCTCCATCCCTTCCCCTTCAATCTCTTTCTCTCCTTCCTTCCTTCCTTCCTTCCTTCCTTCCTTCCTTCCTTCCTTCCTTCCTTCCTTCCTTCCTTCCTTCCTTCCTTCCTTTCCCCTTCAATCTCCTTCCTTCTCCATCTCCTTCCTTTCCCCTTCAATCTTCCTTCCTTCCTTCTCCTTCCCTCCCTCCCAACATTTTTGAGCAAGGAAGAATAAGCTTCTCCATCGAGCATTGCTATATTGTTTTTGTGATTAATCACTATGCTTTAATTATGTTCAATTCGTAACAATGAAAATACACCCTGCATATTAGATGTTACATTACAATTCATAACAGTAGCAAAATTACAGTTATGAAGTAGCAACGAAAATAATTTTATGGTTGGGGGTCACCACAACATGAGGAATTGTATTAAGGGGTCGCGGCATTAGAAAGGTTGAGAACCACTGTTGTATTGTATAGATCTGTACTAGTACCATCAATGTTTATTCTCAATCAGCAGTTTTGTCTGACTGGTTCTTTGGTGCTAACCCAGAGGAAATCACGGTGAAAAAGAAGAGATTAACTTTTAACCTGAAACTCTGGTTTTTCAAGTGGTCACCATATGCAACAAGCCCCCAAGTTAAGAATGCCCTGGTTTAAGGACAACCCAGAGTTCAGTCTAGAACCTGTTCTATCAAAATCTGAGTTAAATACGCAATGGTTCAAGTTAATGACACAATACTATTTACACAGTATTATATAATAATACTTTGGCCACCTAATGAGAAGGAAGGACTCACTGGAGAAGGGCCTAATGCTGAGAAAGATTGAGGGCAATAGAAGAAGGGGACGGCAGAGAATGAGATGGCTGGATGGAGTCACTGAAGCAGTAGGTGTGAACTTAAATGGACTCCAGAAGATGGTAGAGGACAGGAAGACCTGGAGGAACGTTGTCCATGGGGTCGCGATGGGTCGGACACGACTTTGCAATTAACAACAACAACAAAATATAATAATACTGTTCTGGCTTTACATACAAATTTGACTTAAAGACAGATCTTGGGAACAGAACTTGTTCTTAAACTGGATGTTATCTGTGCTCACCAAATGGACACTAATCCCCTCCCCAATATCAGATATTTCAGGGTCCCCAACTCCCGGTCTCCAACTCCTGTGGACCAGTACCAGGCCGCAGGATGCCAGCAACCGGTCCGTGGACCAGTACCGGGCCACAGCATGCCAGCAACTCTGCACAAATAAGCAGAGCCCCATCTGCGAGATGCAGGCAGCACACAAAACCACATACTCTCCGGTCCAAGGAAAAACCTCTCTCCATGGAATCGGTCCCTGGTCCCCTCTGAGATATTTGATTCTGCTTTATCTGTTCCAGTAATTACTATAGCAGTTCCTAATCTGAGGAGAAAAACAAGAGTCACTACTTGTAGGTGACATGTTATAATGAGGCTCAACTTCCTGCAAAGAATAGTTCTGGAATGTTTCGAATTGGGTGCTTGCAAGCACAAACCTTGTATATGCGAATTCACAGATGACCATTTGAAATATGAGAATTACAGGCAGTTAAACACTTTAATGGGCCACAGTGATTGCTACATGGGAATTAAAAGTAGAACAGCCAACTGTAAATAACTTTGGAAATGAAAGCTTTAGACATCAAGATACTTATGATTTTTGGAACCAAAACAGTGATAAACCATGTAGGATTTCAGTTGGTTAAACCTAAGAAAAAGAGATGCTGGACGTCTCTGAAAAAAAGTTGACTTGTTCCTTGTTAGTGATATTTATCCATTCCATCTTTGAAAGCTCAATGTATACAAAAGAACTGTTTTTTAATCAGGGAGGCAGAGATTTGTCCCAATTTAATGACCTGACTGATTGTTGAGTTGGTTTCTAAAAGTTATAGCCTATGAATATAAGAGAATTTTAATCTTTTATTTCCTTTCTTTTCTTCCTTTAGCCTCATGGATCGAGAAGTAGCCCTACTTGGTGAAATGGACAAAGTAAAAGCAGAAGCAAGTAAGTTTTATAAACAACTATGTTAATATCTTTGTCCTGAAACCGTACAAGACTACCAGATTTTTGAAGTAAGCAGTCCAAGACAAAATACAAAGAAGGACTTAAATTTCTGGTATTTCCAAATGTGTAAACCATACTATATATGTACAGGTTGGCTATATATATTTTTTATCACATCTAGTTGTATAGGTTCATGTTTCAAATATCTTGTAATTACATATACATGGGTAAGATCTGGTTTTGCTCTTGACTTAACAACCATTCATTTAGTGACCGTACAAAGTTACAGTGGCACTGAAAAAAGTGACTTATGACTATTTTTCACACTTAACGACCGTTGCAGCATCCCTATGGTCACGTGGTCAGAATTCAGGTGCTTGGCAACAGGCAGGCATTTCCGCCACTGCGGTGTCCTGTGGTCATGTGGTCACCTTTTGTCACCTTCCCAGCTGGTCACCTTCTGCGAACGTTTGACGAAACAAAGCCAATGGGGGGGGGGACAAAGCTTACCAACTGCATGATTCACTTAACAACTTCAGTGATTCGCTTAACAACTGTGGCAAAAAAAAGGTAAAATGGGGTGCAACTCACTTCATTGTCTTGCTTAGCAATGGAAATTTTGGGGTCAATTGTCATAAGTCAAAGACTACATGCATTTATTTCCAAGTATAGTGCCATAGTTAATCCTAGTTGCCATTACACCAGAAAAGCATGTGGGGTTTCCTCATTCCAAGCACAGTGTTAAAACAGAGGCCTCCTAAGACTTCTATGTGTTGCATTTATATGCTGATTTACTTATCCCGAATGAAAACTACCACTGTCCAAATATATGGGAAAGTGCAAGAATAAAATATGTGCCCAGCCAGCCCGATTGTCTGAATTGAGACTGCTTGTGATCCTCTAACCTTCATATCTAAATAAACCTGTGGCTACCATTACTGCTACTACCACTGTAGTATGTGTCAATGCCAAAACATCCAATGTTAGCAGCAGCATGGTTCCGACAGTATGAACTTTGTACATGCCATGAAAAATGTGGATTCCCCAGAACAAGGTAACGAGAATACATAACTCCTTGAAGACTCTTGATTGATATGCAACTTGATTAATGTGGCTCATAGGTCTAGTCCTCACTTAATTTGCTCAGCGACTAGTTGAAGTTGCTGAATAAGTGCTATTTTTGACCAATCCTCAAAAGTTCCAGCTGTCCCAGCATCCCATCCAGTCTGGGTGCTTGGCAACCAGCTCACACAGCAGGGGCATCCTCCCACAGTCACATGACCACCATTTGGGACCTTCACTGCTGGCTTCTCAAAAGCAAAGTCAATGGAGAAGCCAGCAGCGAAGGTTGAAGTCTCTTGCACTCTGCACCACCTGGCAGTACCCACCCTTGGTCCCGACAAGCTTGCTCTGCACCTTGCTGGCCACCCTTGCACCTTCCCCCACCCGGCAGCAGCCCCACTTACCTGCCTGCCAGCCAGCCTGCATACAAATCACCTTGGACTCACTTAAAGACACAGGAACTTGGCTTAACAACAGCAATTGGGAAACGCTGGGATTGCTGTCACTAAGCAATACGGGCAGGTCACATCATATTTTATGATTGCCTCGCTTAGTAACGGAAGTTCCAGTCCCTATAACTATTGTTAAGTGAGGACTAGCTGTATATCAAAGAAGCAATTCCCATTACCTCTCAGAAGCTGCAGTTCTTTCTGCTTCTGTTCCCCGGGGCTTGATTGTAGTATCTATATGGTTTTCTCCTTACAAGACAAAAGAACTACTTTGTTCTACTGTCATTCATTGGCAAAAGAGTACAGGAGAAAAGAGTTATAAACTGCACCCTGCCCAAAACATTGCAATTAAGTAAACAACCAATTTGACTTGATAACTTCCTTTTTATTATTATTATTAAAAAGGGAGACAGAGAAAGAAAGCAAAGGACCCTATTCACAGATTTCATGTGTTGAGCTTGAGCTACATAGGCATCTGTCAGTTTCGGGAATTTAAGAATTCTCGCCCTGTTGCCTAGGTAATTATCCCCTGGCATTTACTGTAACTCCAGTCTTTTTAGGTATTGTCCAAGGCCTCAAGCATTTATCAGATGTATTGCAGAGCTGAAGCTGACCTTTGAAGGATAAACTAAAATATTGGGGAAAGGGGAGAATAGGGGCTGGCAGGAATTAGATTTGTAGCAACTTGACATTCTGTTTTGTGCTTTAATTGCTTAATTATTCTATTTATTATAAATGTGATTGCCTTTTGGGGGGGTTCTGTTTTACCTTATAGTGGAAATCCTAATCAGCCGCCAAAAGAAGGCAGGGGCACTGAAGAAACTAACCGATGTAGCAGTCCGAATGTCAGAAGAACAGCTGGTAGAACTTAGAGCGGATATAAAGGTGAATCCCCAGACTGCTTTGGGCTATGTGCACCTTTTTCTAATCTACATAGATTAGGCAGTTGGGGGCAGAGATCTTATTGAAGTACAGCCACAGTATGCACAGAGAAATTACATTTCCCCAGGTTCTGTTGATGTAATTACATTTCCTTATATTCCTCTTACGCAGAAGAGCTCTATTGAACAGTAGAGCAGAGGCCCTCAACCTTTTGGGCACCAGGGACCGGTTCCACGGAGAAAGGTTTTTCCATGGACTGGAGAGGGCGTGGTTTTGTGTGCTGCCTGCATCCTGCGGATGGGGCTTTTGCTTATTTGTGCGGACCGGTTGCTGGCATGCCGCAGCCTGGTACCGGTTCAGAGACTGGGGGTTGGGGACCCCTGCAGTAGAGGGCATACTTAGGAGGAGCCAATCTTAGTCTGTAGCATTTAAAACAGGCAATTTCAATACCTGACCTGGCAACAACATTTGCTTAATGTTAGGATTGACTGAAAAACAAAAGCATTATTTAAAAAAAAAAAAAAAAAGTTTTGAAAAGAACAAACTCAAACATCAGACTTTGCCTGAAACTTTTTCACACTTATTAACCTCCATAAAGCTGATGAATTATTAGATTGTGACTGTGAAATTTGCTCTTAGTGGTGTGGTGTTGTCTGACAAATAGCTTCCCTTGCCTACCACTAGAGGCCAGAATGAAGTTACGTTCAAATTCCCACCAAAATCTCACTGCATGGGAAAAATTCACTCTGGTAATTGCTGTTCTGTCAGCAGTTCCATCTTTAAACTGTTTATTATTTTCTAATAAATCCAGTTGTTTATTCTTCTTCAATTGTGTAGAAGCAGAGAGAAGGGTGTGTAGTTTGTGCCTCGGTTGATACCCGCAATTCACACGACGGCTCCTCTCCCAAAACATGAATGTGCTTTGTGCATAATGCTAACATGCCTACATTTTTTTTTTCTTCTCTGCAGCACTTTGTTAGTGAGCGCAAATACGATGAAGATCTCGGCAGGGTGGCTCGCTTCACTTGTGACTTGGATTCCCTAAAGAAAAGCATTGAATCCTTTGGACAAGGTGAGCTAGTCTAAACATTGTATGTCCTGGGTATCTACACAAAACAAAAACCCAGCAACGATGGGATAAAGCTAAACTAAACTAAACACGCGTGGCTGATAAAAGCACTTCTAAAATTCTGAAAATACATTTTTCTGTGGCTTTCGGCTGAAAAGGCTCTTCTCAGAATTTTATCAGCTCAGAAAATGATCGAGGTCCCTTATGTGTTTCACTGTTAGTCTTCATATTATTACAGTCCCTGAACTGAGTTGTTTACATACATTTATTACTTTATCCTGCTTATTTTATGTATAATATGTATTTATATGTTACATATCCTTTGGGTGTGGGCGTACTATAAATATTTCAAATTAATACGTGTGGAGTGGGGCCGCTCTTAGGAAGCCTCCATTTGAGATCGCCCAATGCCGTGGATTTTAAGGAAAAATGGAAAAATGTTCAAAGCCCTTTTGCAGTACTAGTAAAATGAAAGCCATTAGTTTATATAACAATGCATTTGCAAGCTTCTTCTCTCTGCTCGCCGGTTCTGTTTTTTTATTTTTCAATTTTACCATACCTTTAGGTCTACTATTTCTATACTTCAGGGTATTTTCCAGCAGGTACATGGATCCCTCAACAGTTAGCTCACAACCTCTGAGGAGTATTTGTAAAGTGGTGGCAATGGCTGCTACAAGAACAGGAGCAGACTGGAAGCCATTTTTATTGCAATTTGATTATGTAACGATTTGGAAAATGTATCATCACTGGTTGCCGATGAGGTGAGAGGTAAATTCATCTTTCTGTTGTAAAAAAAAAGTGTGAAATAAGTCTTTTTTTTTGTCATTCTTGTTTCAGTTTCACATCCAAAGAACAGTTATTCAACCAGATCACGGTGTAGCTCTATTTCCTCCACAGCGGTGAGCAGTCCGGATAAGTCCGCTACCACAGTGTGTGCCTCTATCTCTTCTCCTAGCCTCATAATGGCCAATAAGAAACCATCATCCCCTATAGAAACCTCCACAAATGCAACAAGCCGCCCATCTCAGTCCCATCGGGAGGTAATGATTTAATGTTGTTTCTGTGGTTGAGAGTCACCTGGAGATTGCCCAGGCGTGGATCTTCTTTACAGCAGAGTTTTTCACTTAGAAGGGAAAAACAAAGGGCCCACATTTTGACTGAGAGGCTGTTGTGCCGCACAGTTAATCTCACAGTTGCTTGTCTTAAGCCAATGCTTGGAATGATAATTCAACTCTAATAGAACATGGACCAAATTTGAAATAACTTCCCATTTTTAAAGACTGGATTGACAGCATTCAAATGAAACATTCTAGGCCAATGATGGTGAACCTTTTAGAGGCCGAGTGCCCAAACTGCAACCCAAAACCCATTTATTTATTACGAAGTGCCAGGGCCGCATCAGCATTGTGGTGTTCTCAGGGAGAGCGGGGGGGGGGCACTGGGTGGGCATGGCCGCTGGGTGGGCATAGCTGTGGTGGTCATGGCAGACTGAATGGGCGTGGCCAGGGTTGGGCCAAGACCAGGGTGGCGGGGACCAGTCCCTCGCCATCTGCAGGGCATCCCCAGGGGCCCAATGCCGCTTGCTCGCTCACTTCCTGCCCCGTCGCTTCCAAACGCCACATGCTCGCTACTCTGGCTGCTGGGGCAATGGTGTGCGTGCCCACAGAGAGGGCTCTGACTGCCGCCTCTGGCACATGTGCCATAGGTTCGCCACCACTGTTCTAGGCCAGTGTTTCCCAAACTTGACAATTTTAAGGCATGTGGACTTTAACTCAGAATTCCACAGCCAGCATTGCTGGCTGTGGAATTCTGGGAGTTGAAGTCCTCATGCCTTAAAATTGTCAACTTTGGGAAACACTGTTCTAGGCCATTGCATCTTCTTGTGTAGTAAAGAATATTAATGTGTATTAATATAAGGTTAAAAATGCAGCATATATTCTAATTGTATAGAGTTAGGCAATGGATGGAGTGCTATATTTTCAGACCCTCTCAGAAACCGGCTTTACTGATTTTGGTTGTAAAATAATCTCCTTGGTCTCTATGGATCTTTATCCTATTTTGAGTATGGAAAAGAGTGCTCAGGTAATACTGGTACTGATCGCTCTGATTTCCCCCTTTCTTTCTGTTCCAGGGGTTCCAGGGAAATAGAAGGTCTGGTCAAGGTTACCGGTCCCAAGGACAACGCCAAAATGGCTCATCGCATCTCAATTCAAATCGCTATAGAAATGGGTCTTGGTACCAGTCCAACTACAAATCCCGACCACCCTCCGGAAACTCAAACAACCTCAACCAGACTTGCCCCACCGGAATCAATGGAACTGGGCCTGGTCCTGAGCCAGGCCCACCAGCCCCGTCCCTACAGACACATTTGGTCCCACTCAGCCCAGAAGCCAAGGCTCTGCCACAGAGGAAACCTAGATCAAGCCAATACGAGGCATCCAGTTCCTGAGGACCGCAAACTCGGCCACTTTCCAAAATTGAAGAACAAGATTGCGGGACACACTTAGCTAGAGATATTAATGAGAAAGGAAATTTACACTTTGCTATCCCTGTGCTGTCTCTTTTTCCCAATCATTCCATTCCGGGAAAGCAGTTTCTTCGCATTTCTCTTGCCCCTGCTTCCTACAGTGTGAAATGGGTCAGATTTTAATCGGAAGACATATTCTTGCTGTTCAGGAGTGGCTTGGCACACCTTACTGATGCCCCTCCTTATGTCCAACAGCTCCTTTTAACATTAGAGCCTTTTTAAAATATTGGCAGGTCTGTATCCTAAAAGTGGGGTGGGGGTGGGGGGGGAATGCCTTCCAGTAGTTCTAATCCAAAACTTTCTGATCCCTGCTCCGACCAGAGTGCCAGTAGCAGGCCTTATTTTTAACAGCAAAAGGTATTCATGCTGACAGTGAAACAGGTTGCTGTGCATTGTGGGTTCAGGATGAGAAATTTGAAGAGGGAAATCTGCAAGAGATTGCTGAAATACTATATTCTTTTTTTGAAACTTATCCTTAAAGTCTACACTTGGGAATACTGGGGAATATCTCTTTCCGTAGTGGGTGAGCAAGTTCCATTCTTTCCGAGAGAATTAACATTCTGTCTATATGTCATGTATAAATTTAGATATTCCCTGGTTTTAATGTTTGGTGTGGGATGGGAGGTTTCATTTTTTTTCACTTCCCGGCCAAAATCCCATTATCTGATTCTAAACTAAATTTCTAGCAATTTATTAGTAATGCTAAGCCTAAATGATCGCAAGTAAAAGCAACAATTGCTACAGTCTCTCTATCCTTGTATAAATAAAAGCAACGTACATGTTTAAAAGATAGTAGCCTTCACTTTGTGCCATTTCTTCTCTTTAAAAAGAGTTCATAGAAAATGGGTTTCCTACAGAAGTGGGTTAGATTAATTTAGGATTAGTTTAATTTCAAAGAACAAAAAAAAATGTCTGGACTATTTTGAGTATAGTTAGTTTGGGTATCTAGTTTGCTGCTGCAGCTGATAAATGAGGTAGGAAAAATAATAAGACCTTTAGCGATAACAGTAGATAATTCAGAATGTTCAATTTGGGCTTCAGGCTTGGACTCACAAGAGTAAAGGAAAAAAAGGGGGGGGGATCAGTCTTTGGAAAAATAATGGATCTCAAAATATTTTGTGTAGGATGGTAAGAGTGTTTAAGAAACTTCAAAGAATCTGAGCATTGCACACACAGTCATGCTATGTGATAGCACCTATATTGCAGATAACTGAAAATGGTGATTTGCTTGAGACTAGTCAATCACTTTATTGCAGAAGTGAAGTTCAGATCAGTTTCTTAGCACACTATTTATATTAATACAAGTGGAGTACCAAAATACTAAATCATAAAGAATGATTAGAATGTTTTACTGTGATTGGTCCTAGATGATAGTAGGCAGTAATAAATGGTTAATTTAAAAGCATATAGTAGAAGTATTCCGGTTAATAAAACCTTTTCTCAGTAAAGATTTGCCTAAGGTACAATTTCTCAAATCTGATACTAAGTTATGGAAATGAATAGTCAAAGCATCTGAGTCAGTGTTTCTCAACCTTGACAATTTTAAGGCATGTGGACTTCAACTCCCAGAATTCTACAGCCAGCATTGCTGGCTGTGGAATTCTGGGAGTTGAAGTCCACATGTCTTAAAATTGTCAAGGTTGAGAAACACTGAAGTGATCATCCAGAAGACTTGATGTCTGGCAAAAAAAAATCTGTGCATGGCCAAAGCCTCGGCAGTAGGAAAACAAGTGAGATTCACACTCATCTTTCTATTTTGCATTGAAACTAACTTGAATCTGGTTACTGAATATCAGCCTGAGATCGTTTAGGCATAAGTTAGAGATACAATTATAGAACTGAGCTTTAAATTAGGAAGCTTTTCAACCAGCCTTAAAAAAAAAGACAAAATTGGTTTGAAAAGGAAAATTGGAGAAGTACAGTTAAGATTTCAGAAACAATTGCAGTAATGGCTGTATGTGTTACTACCTCAGATGATAACTACCAAGAACCAGAAAGCCCTTACTGTCACATTTAATATTTTAAAGTATTTCCCTCTCCCAACTCCATGTGTATGCCTGAATGGATTGTAATGTCTTCACTGGCTGTTGCATCAAGCCCTAAAAGTCTTTTCCTTTTGAAATTTCAGCTAGCAAAAGGCCATCCTGTGGCTAAGACGAGGCATATGAAGATGAATCATAAATTCACTATGGGAGTCACTATGGTTATTGTGCGGCTGGAAGCTTTTCTCAAGCCTTTTATACAACCTAAACATGAAGACAATAACCAATCTACCTGATCAATGTATTTAGGTTTGCTGAAATAAAATATATGAACTAATTTGGGTAACTGAAGTACGTTATTGATGTGTAATATTATTCACAATGATGCAATTTTATCTTCTCATATCAATAAAGGCATTTTCTTCACTGGCATGGTAATTTAATGTGAAAATGACACTCTAATGCAACTAAAAGCTCAAGGCAGCAATGATGAGGGACAATAGGCAGATTTGGGGCCTGCTGGGAATAATATGAAACCAGTGGGAACCTAGCATGGATCCAGTCTTTCTCCAGAATAAAGGTCTTAATTATTTATATGTCATATAAAAGTGTACAAATGATTGTTGTATATAAATATAAATGATGGTCTTAAGAATACTGTAACTGCATGTGGTCTCATCTTGCACAGAACTAAGGTCCAGGAACTCTTAACAAAGGAATCCATCTTTGCACAGTATGCTTACCCCTGATTTATGTAACTGTGGTTGACTCAACTGGATGCTATTTGTCTGGTTTTGTACAAAATATAAACTAACCGCATGGTTCAGCGTGAGTTTACATAAAATCATAGCTAGAGTAGACCAGATTAAACTTGGCTCATTTGTAGCTTCTGTACAACATCATTTGAACATAGCCAGTAAGAGATTTGGCTTCATATTCCAACATTCTGTCTCATATTTACAATTTCTTGGTGCTCCATGCAAAAGACTCTTCCAAACAGTCAAGAGAAACTTTAAGGACAGGAAACCCTAATGCTTCCCAATAGGTTTATAGCTGCGCTGCCTTAAGTTTCAAAACAGATGTTTCCTTAAGGAAGTTTTAATCCCTGAATATGAGGTTCAAAGGACTAGCTAAACCAGGGGTCTTCAAACTCAGCCCTTTTATGACTCATGGATCTCAACTCCCAGAATTCCTCAGCCAGGCAGGCTGGCTGAGGAATTCTGGGATTTGGAAGTCCATGAGTCATAAAAGGGCCGAGTTTGAAGACCCCTGAGCTAAACCTTCAAAGGTAAGTACAGTTTGGGGCAAAATGATGTGGAAATTTCTTTCCTCAATAAAATAACGTAAGAAGTACCCACATGAACATGATCCCTTGCAGCAGAGAGGCTCTGTTACTGTACATAACCCATAGTTACTCAGTTATGTAGCTATATTCCAAGTATTAGATTTGAATGCTATTAGTCCAAAGTAGAGAAGCTACTAATTGCCAACTCCAAATACATTCAGGTCCGAAGGTGCAGTGAGAAAACAGCAACTGCTTGAACAATCAGCACAATGAGTGTGCTAATACACATTTTGCTACAAGGAGAAGAACCTTGAAGGATGCACTTTATTTGCCCAACAGTTCAAGAACTGTTTTTGAATGGAAGAACTTCCAAAAACTGATCAAACTGTTGGCAACTCCCTCTGCTAAGATGCTCCTCTGATGATCGAACCTATCATAGCACATAACAATCCTGAGTTCAATAGCACTTAGACTTACATGTCGCTTCACAGTCCTTTACAGCCCTCTCTAAATGGTTTACAGAGTCAATATATTGCCCCCAACAATCTGGGTCCTCATTTTACCGACCTCAGAAGGATGGGAGGCTGAGTCAACCTTGAGCCAGTCAGAATCGAACTGCTGGCAGTTGGCAGCATTTAGCCTGCATTCTAACCACAGCACCACCACGGCTCAGATCATAAGTAGAACCACATTCAGTGTAAGAATAGGTAGTGGAGGCAACTCATTTTTATTAATTTCACTCCATACCTTGATATAATTATTTCAAGATAACATATAATTCATGTTGCATTCAAGATTTCATGGGTCAACCAAGTAGCATGCAGAGAGATTATGGAATGCCTCTCTTTACTTAGTGTCTCAAGTAGGACAGTAGCAAATGAAGCCACTGGTTCCTTTGTGAGATCTTTTCCATCACCACCCAAATTCAAAACCATCCCTTGAAACTGCTGGGGATGTAGCTTGATTATACACACAGTATGAGCCAACTCAACACAGCAATGCAGTGATGTGGAAATTTACTGTCATACATGATTAAAAGACAAGAGTTTTGTAAGAATAAACAGCCTGGTAATTAACCACAGTCTTCCATATTTCTTTCAAAATTCTGTAATATAGATGCCGGCTGGTGTTCAATAAATGCTCAGACTACTGTGATAATGACAATTACCCAGACGGAGCTATCTGCAATCTTCTTAGCTTTTCAATGTGTTGTTTCATTGTTTTATGTATGTATTCCTTACATCTCTCCCAGCATTGCAGACATTTCAAAGAGAGAAGTCTTTGTCTAATAATTATTTGAATCTAATGATTTGTGCCTTGACTTTGGTTTGATTTGTTCTATTGATTGTCAGTAGCAGATATTCTATCTTTAATTTATCCTGATTTACAGTAGAGAATAGGTAAAAATGAGCATGGAATAGACAGCTGCTTTTTTCCCCTTTCCTTGGGGATGGCACAGGAGCGTTAGCAGAAAAAACTGAATTAACAGTTGGGAGAAGACCACGGAAATAGTTTTGTAACGAGTGATGCTCATATTTGGAGATTATCTTTCAAGGATATGGTGAGAACTCTGCTTATAGTTTGGTGCTGTTCAGATGATTATCTAAAGTCAGAACTTCTAGGGCTCTGTGTTTAAACTAATCTCCAGATTTGCTTGTAAGTTCTTTCATTAAAAACTGTGTCCTTGATAAGAGTCCAGAAAACATATCTAAATATGTCGCACCCTCTGGGAAGGTAGGTTTATATGTTTTTATTTATTAATAAGAATATATAAACCTAGATGTTATTTATCAAGTAACTTATTACAGCTAGCACTCTTCAAAGACGTATGTTGAGCAGACCAGGTTGAGTCTATTAAGAGTAGGTAGTCTTTGAGGTAGCCAGGTCATGAGTCACAAAGAACTTAAGATATAATGCCCAGCACTTTGACTTGCGGTGCGGGAGTTAAAATCAGAAATCTGATCCAAGAATCAGCACTAAAGCCCACATTTGCTTTAGTAGAAGTCTAACATTACCTATGTAAAAAAAGAATCTTCTGATGGGGCTGCTATGTCTGGGCCATGACACCTCAAAGAACTTCTAGAATCATTTACTTCTTGCTGTCCTGTAATGGTTATCTGGATTTTTGCAGCCCAAGTCTAGTAGCCATACCTTCTGGCCTTGTGGAGCACTTGTGTATTAGCATCATGAGAAGAAAGGAGTGGATCTTGATCCTCCCATGTAGCTGAGGAAAAGGAGAGGGAGTTGTTCACCGCATTGCATGAGGTCCAAGCAACAAAGCAGGGAAAAGCCTTCCAACTCTTGAAAAAATTTTCAGACTCGGCTCACTTCTCTTCTTGTGCTTCTGAAGCTTATGGCTCCTTTGTTGGCTCTTCAAGACAACAACATAGTAGGACATCTTGTTTCTGCATTCTTATCAGAGCAAGTGTGATTTTCTTCTCTAGCAAGGTGGCAGGTGCATTTGGGGAATCCTTGGCATGGTGGTTGTGAGATTAGCAGCCTCAGCCTTAGGAGCTGTCATGGTAGTATCAGAGCCCTCACAGGAATACCATTCTGTCATGGAGCCAATTTAATCTTGGGGCAAAGGGGCATAATTTTTGGCCCCAGGATGTCTGCAGCTCCTTAGAAGATCACCAGTCATTGCAAGAGAAGGGTAATATTGAATGCAATCAGGAATGTACAGATATCTAATCTGGCTTACTGTTCTGCCAACGTCTGCAATGGATGATAGTACTTTAATCCTGCAATGCATCACCCTTTAGAACAGGGGTAGTCAATCTTGGCTCTTTTATGACTTGTGGACTTCAACTCCCAGAATTCCTGAGCCAGCTTAGCTGGCTCAGGAATTCTGGGAGTTGAAGTCCACGAGTCATAAAAGAGCCAAGGTTGACTACCCCTGCTTTAGAAGGCTGAATGTAGAAGCCAGATTGATACATGGGTGTCCAACTTAATACATAGGTGTCCAACTTTGCTTAATACATGGGTGTCCAACTTTGGCAACTTTAAGACCTGTGGACTTCAGCTCTCAGAAGTCCCCAGCCAGCTATGCTGGGAATTGAAGATGACAGCTCTTAAAGTTGCCATGATTGGACACCCTGGCTTAGCAGGTAAGAGAAAATACAGAGAGCAGAGAAGAAATGTCAGATATATTTTGTATAAATGTACAAATTTAAGATCTTTGTTTTTAGCTCCTAAATGATTATCGCTTTATCAACAAAGTTTCTGTTGGAAGTATTTCTAAATAGGATGTTTGAAACCCACAATTTCAAATGCCTTGTAACTCAGTTTGGGCATAATCTGCCATGTTCACTGATAAATAATCTTTTCTTCCTTCTGTTGGTTCCCTCCTTGTCAAAATTAGATTTGGCAACATCTGCTCTTGCTTTCATTTATTTTACTCTCTAAAGCAGTAAACAAAGTAATGACAGTGCCAACGACAACAGGAGCAATAATTCAAAGATTATACAAAAGTTAGGACATCACATTACTGTTTCTTCTGTTTGGAACAAACCACTCTTTTCTATATCTGTTGTGTCCTGAGCCTGCAAATGCAGGCTTGGGACATTGCAAGGTTCCCGGGCAATTGCAAAAGTTGCCTGGGACCAGACTGAGTGGCGCTGACCAAGCGCGCATGCGCAAGGTGCGAAAAGTGCCTAGTGATGTTGCCATCTTGTTTGGGGAATGGGGACATATAAAAGAAGGCCTGCGTGCCTTTGCTCGTGGTTGGAGTTTGAAATAAGCACAATAAAGAGTTGTTCCAGAAACATGTGTACTCTTCATTCGCCATCGCTCCCAGGACTTAACACTGGCGACGAGGGTGGGATTCTTTTTTTTATTTTATTTTATTTTTCAATTTTTATTATTTTATTTTCATTACAATCATAAGAAGAAAAATTCAGATACATAAGAAGTTAAAATACAACACAAATTCCAACATTGCTCACCCATTTCCCCCCAGACCGCATCCCCCTCTCATCTCTTCACTTCCCCCTTCCTTCTACCTCCTCCTCTCCTCCCCTCCCTCTCTCCTCCATCTTTCTACTTACTTATCCCTCTCCTCTTCTTCTCAATCAGATGCGGTCTGAGGGAAAATGCCCAAGCAATCCTCTATCACCAAAATCTGAACTATTAAAGATACTAC